ATGAAACAGAGTGAAGGAAACCTAGTTACCGAAGGGGAGAAACAAAGAAAACAATGGGCTGATCACTTCAAAAAACTTCAATCGACCACCACCTCCACCACCTGCAACTCGTCCACAAAGACCACTAGCAGTCCAGACAGAGGACTACCAGTGAACACAGCCCTCCAACAAAACCAGAAGTCCTCAAGGCCATCAAGTTGCTGAAGTACGGGAAAGCAGATGGACCAAATGGAATTCCTCTAGAAACACTGAAAACACACGCGGATCAAATTGCAACAACACGCCACGCATCGCATCGCATCGCATGGTCATAGAACAGAGCATAGAATGGCAGTCAACTGGATCTTTACCTTACCTCAACTTCATCGACTTTGAAAACGCCTTGCTTCAATAGCGTCCACCAATAAGTAATTTGACAGGCTGCTGCTGCTGCTTCAACACTACGCTTCTACTGCCACAAACCTTTATCAAACTCATTCAACAGCTATGTGAAAACGCAACATGACAAGTGATCCACAATGGAAAGCTCAGTGACACCTTTGAAGTGAAGTGAAGTGAAGATAGGAGGAAGACAACGTTGCCGCCTAATATCACTCATCACCTTCCTGATTGTGGTCGACTCGATCATGCAGCAAACAGTGAGGAGAGAGAAGATGGGAATACGCTGGCTGGACCGATGAGAAGACCCCGCAAGATGTGGATTTCGCCACCCATGATGATGATGATAATGATGATTTATGTCTAATGCCTTGTGGCACAAACTCAAAGATCTACAGGCAAAAACTAACAAGTTGACAGGAGAGGCCAGGCAGCGAAGACGGGAATTCAAGTGAATGTAGAGAAGACGGAGGTGATGAAGATACCCAACCAACAACAACATCAACAACCAGCACCGATCACCATCAACGGGAGAAAACTAAAGGAAGTTCTCGCTTTCACCTAACTAACTACCTAGGTAGCACTATTCCAACTACAGGCGGCACATGCAAGGAGAGGATGTAAAAGTCAGGATCGGAAAGACAGCAAGACACGCCTTCATTAACCTGAAACCAGTGTACAGATCTACTGCACTCCACTCCACTGCACTCACATAAAGCTTGAACAAGATCCGGATTTTCAACACTAATCTCAGTCAAGTGAATCAGTGCTTCTATGTGATGGTTGAGAGACTTGGTGCGTCACAAAAAGCATTTCCAACAAACTACAGACATTCATCAACAGCTCCCACCTACGCTCACTCCATACTGACACTGAAGATCAGATGGCCAGAATAATAAGAATAAGCAGCAAGGAACTCTGGCTAGGTGGCAACGAATCAACCAACAACCCATCGCCCAACAAATATGCTGCAGAAGAAAGTGGAGATGGATTAGGCATACACTTAAAAGACCATTTGGGGACATCACGTGCCAGGCCAGGCTGTCGAGTGGAATCTAAAGGGGAAACAACGAGTTGGGTGTCCCAGCTGACGGTGACATGGAGGAGATCATTGTGAGGAAGAAATGAAAGCTTGTGGGAGTGGTGGAGCTAGGTTGAAAAGAATGCAGAGAAGAGAGTGAAATGGCGACATGCTACTGAAGCCCTACACCTACTAGGAACCCAAGGGACAAATAATAATAATAATGACAAATTACTTCCTTTAAAAGCTGGTAGTTATTTATTATATGTTTGCAGAGAACTTATTCTTCTCAGGAGTTGACGGAACAGCCTAACTTTACGTCCAAAAGGAGTGTTTCTTTTCAAACTTTCACGGGTTATGAACAGATTATAAGTGTAAATAGGATCACTTAGGAGTGAAGTTGATACAACTTAGGACATTAGAGGATGGTCGTGTCATTTTGTTAACTGACAGAAGTAGGACAATGTGAACCTTCGGATTTCAGCCTAGTGGTAGCTAAACAGTAAGATGGTCGCCGCGATTCCCCCTACTTCTTGGCTCGATCCCCCCGTGGATTCATGGGTATACAGTTTAGGAGAGCATGTAACTAGGCTGGAACAAGTGTCCAGTGCATCCAGGTTTTTAGTGGCTCTCCAAATGATGTTAACCCATAAAGAAAACTACTAGATAGAGTTACGTTCTCTGACCTAGATTTTCCAATTGTGCAGCTTTTGTTGTTATTTTAGACAACATCATCAGCACAAACTTCAGAAAAAATTCAGCAATAAGATTATTTGTTTATTTGTTTAGTAACTTGTCCCAATGGCGTTGTGTGTGGTTCAGTACTTCTATCGAGATCTTGTCTTCATTTTCCTGATGACCTGATACTTGACCTTCTTGTTAGTTCTCATTGGTTGGTAGATTGGGTCAATGTCAATATGTTTGTTGATTGCTGACTGACCTGAATACCAAACTTCCGAAAATCCTCTGGCATTCTTTGTATTTCCTCCATTCAGGATCTTCACATTTTCCAGTCAAATTCATGTCCACAGTTGGCTGTATGCATTCATATTATATCAGTTGCAGAACGATTGAAAACACGGGAGCACTGAACAGTTGTTTTGTTCTAGCATGGGTGCTGCTGAGGAGTCTCATACAAAAACGAAAGAGATGTTCAGTGTCTCCAGATTTCCAATGGTTCTCCAAGTGATGTCAGTTCATGATGAATAAAACCTTAACGACAAAATCTCCATTAACCTCAAAATGCAAAACAATAGTTGTAAGAAAATATCATATAAGCTCAATAAGTTAGTAATTAAGTGATGAAACATAGTGAGAACGATTTATTTAGAAAAAATTTAAAGATAAATTTATATGGTTGCATCTTCCATTAGAAATGCTATTCACAAGAAAGAATAGGAAGTGAAAAATTGCAGCTGATAAACATGAAGATTCGTCCTAACATCAATTCCCTTGATACGACTATGAATAATAAATTGTTACTGATTATTTGTCCAGTTAATAATACTGTTTCACACTTCTTCAATATATTGAAGAAATGATGTGAAAAACTTCAGCACTATGTTCGACTGAAATTTCACTCTCGTTTGAAGTATAATAAAGTGTGAAACAGTATTATTAACTGGACAAATAATCAGTAACAATTTATTATTCATAGTCGTATCAAGGGAATTAATATTAGGACGAATCTTCATGTTTATCAGCTGCAATATACAAGCGTTTTTTTTTTGACAATGAATATTGATCAAATGAATAATTGAAACGAAAAGAATATTTACTGTACTGATCTGTTATGATACTTTTATTGAGGGTAGGAATTTGTTTTTGAAACTGATAGAACTATAAAATATATTATGATAATTAATTCATAGAGAAGTTAGAAGTGAGATCCATGTGATCAAAAAATACTGCGATAATATAAGAATTTAGTGTTATTGCTTGTATTACACCGTCGTTGATTGGACCGAATTGATCACTCTGTGTTGGCATATGGGCTCCTATGCAGATGCCTCGATGAAATGCGCATCGTGGATTCCACTGCTAGCCACTGCCCATCATTACTAAACATAGTTAAAAGACAGGCAATATCGAGGCATCCGCATAGGAGCCGATATGCCAACAGAGACTGATCAGTTCGGTCCAATCAACGACGGTGTATTACAAGCAATAACACTAAACCTATACCCGTCGCACAAGAAGTGGCTATCGTGGCTCGGTGGTGTAGTGGATAACGCTCTGGCGTTTGAAGCGATCGCTCCCGAGTCCGAGTCCCGGCGGGGACAACATCACTCGCTGGGAAGCAGATACATCCAGCTGACGAGTCCCATATAGGACGAAATTCGCATCCTGGATTCCACTGCTAGCCACTGCCCATCATTACTAAGTATAAGTCTTTATTGCAATACTAAGGTATTTTTTTCGTTAATTTTTGTAGAATAAACAAAACCAGAATGACTGATCATTCATATCATCAAAATGATTTTTTTTAAAGTTTTTAATCCTCATAGGGTATGGCAAAAGTAAAGAAGTGAAATCTGCTTGTCAGTCAATATATGGTTGGCAATCATATTCGAAATAACCAAACGTCTTTTCACTTATTGACAAACAAAAGCTTGTCCACCATGCAACATAAAATTTTATTTCCCTAAGCTTTCATCCTCTGAATGTTGTCTTTTAAATATGAATTCTGCAAGTCAATGAATGCATCTTTCTTTCGACATTTTGGTGAATAATACCTGAAGAGTATGGCATTACTAACAGTTCGATGGATAACTCGTCTGCTTAGACGACCTGACATAGAGATAAATATGACTTGAAAAGTCTAGTAGTAAGTTTTTGAATTCATCATTGAGTAACAGACATAGCTTTAAACTGAGTAGTCGGAAATTAGTGTGGAATTGATGCTGAATTAACTGTAAACTAGATTGGCAGGGCGTTTTAATCCAGTTGACTCAATATGATCAAATTACTGCTGTCTTAAAACTAAACTGATTGACGGTAGGCAAGTTTGAAAATCAATTAAATCATCGTTCCGCGGAAAAGAATGTCAGTCATTCATCTTTGTCGAACTGATGTACAGAAGAGGTACTACAGTCATTATGACTCGGCATATAAGTAACTACTTCTTTAAGAATTAAAATATTTCTTTGCTGACACAAATTTAAAACAAGCAACAAGTGTGAAAAAAGCCGGATTTAATGAATTCAAAACAATTAATTCCCTTTATGAACTTCGACAAAACAATAAGAATGTGTAATTTGTCTGAACCGTGTAATGTATTTGCGCAACACATTTCGAACTATCTGATCACACATGTACTTGTCATAGGTATTTATATAAAACTCATGAAGATAAGGGGTGAGAAAAAGAGGTCAGGTAGGAAGGCTGACATAAAGGCCGAATAATAATGAAAATCAATAGACCGAAAAATAATAGTGCATAGAACTTGGTTTTCAATAGTTGAATTTACCAAGGAAGATTTAATGTGACAACAAATTGTTTATGAACACATAGAGGTGGTTACAACTTCCTAATAGTTAAGGCTTCAACAAATTTCAGGATCCCTCCCCAACATGTTTTGTAAATAGGTGTAAAGGAAGTAGCCATATCAGTCCTGTGGCCTGTTTCAAAGATGTTTGGCGATCGAAGAACTTGGACGTCTGCTACCAACATTTATAGGTTCAGGTGATTTAATTTGCTTCTGAAGCCACTTTGGAATATGTTCCGAAGCCCTTACTTGCATGGATTTATGAGTCGTTTCTATGTATGTGTCACCACACGTACATTTGAATTGGTAGATACAATAGGATGTGACATTGTCATTCACATGCTGTGGGGGTTTGGGGGAATATACGGACTTCATGGTTTCGATTACTCGAACCCTGAGTGCATAGTAAGTCCTTCTAACAGCAGCGTTAAGTCTCTGCTTAAGGATTGCACTCTGAGAGTCACCTTTGTACGGAAGGCTGGTGAAGACATCCTTCTTTGGGACTGACTGAAGTTCTAGTTTTGGCGCTCTAGTAATTTTGTTCTGCCTGATAAATGTTGATGGATAGTTATTTTCCAACAAGATATCAGTCAGTGTTCCTCTTTCATCTTCTAAAGTATCCTCTGTGCACATTCACTGAATTCTTCTGAATAAGCACCTTACTAACGTTCGCTTGTACTGAACTGGGCAAAAGCTATGGTAATTCAGATATTTCCCTGTCCAAGTAGGTTTTCTGTAGAAATATCGTTTTATGGATCCATCCAGCTTTCGACTAATTAATATATCCAATAACGGCAAGCAGTCATCTTCCTCTCTTACACATGTCAAGGATATACTGTTCTGTACTTCGTTCAGTCGGTTTAGAATTGAAGTAGACTGATTTGAGTTTTCGCAAATGAACAGGATATCATCAACATATCCTCGATACAGATGGGCTTGGTCTACTAAGTTCTCAACGTGTGACCTGACCTCTTTTTATTTTCTCACCCCTTATCTTCATGAGTTTTATATAAATACCGATGACAAGTACGTGTGTGATCAGATAGTTCGAAACGTGTTGCGCAAATACATTACACGGTTCAGACAAATTACACCTTCTTATTGTTTTGTCGAAGTTTAATGTATTCATAAATTTCAGTAGTACTCATCAGCTGGATATTCTACGTACTTGATTATATATACCGTTAAGCAATGGAAAGGAGCGTACATACATATATAACGTAGACTGAGACAGATTTAGGTGTAACAACATAGAAGTGAATAGTTTTTACAGGTCAAATGGTAATCCAGAGGATAGAAATGGATATTCGAAATTGAATGGGTTGTGGTTAGGTTGATTGAGTTTGGATAATAGTGGGTTTCAGGTAGGAAAATAATTATAATAACAATAATAATGTTGACACAGGGGTGAGAACTGAATCGATTGAGCGTCGATCACGTCATAGAAAACAAGATAGTTAATAGTACTTATGCAGACACCTAGAAAACAAGGTGTATATTGAGCTGAACAATAATGATAACATTGGTAATAGGAATAAGGTTAATTAAACGAAACAAATCAGGGAAGGAAAACAAAATATGAGATGGGTGATAATTAATAGTGAAGAGTAAAATAAGAAAGATTAAACATGATTAGACAATGTTGTAATTATTACCATGGCAGATTCAGGCTGACTATCATTTCCTTCTGAATGCAGAGGTTTGGTTTGACAATTCGAATCGTGCAGGCTTCTACATATCCAAGCAACTTCTTATTTTGCTGTCTACTGATCACCTTAAAAGATTTACAAGTATCAATATCATGTCCATAGTCCATTAGGTGCTTCGTTATCGAGCTCCTCGGGGTCTTCTTTTCGGCATGCTTCAACCATTGAGGTGACTTTAATGGTCTCCCTGGCAACTGATGAGACAACCGATAATATTCTTTTATTTGCGGAAATTACTTTCCCAGACGAAATACTGAAGCTTGATTGGTCTACTCAGCAGTTGCTATAGTGGCCTTCAAAGTTACTCTACATTTCCCATATGTCTTGTTATGTACAACAATCGTGCATTGTGTGGTTTAACCGATCGACTTCGTCTTGTCTATGGGTCATCTAGTGGGACGTTAAAGCTTGTACATAGTTACTTAAATGTAATAGAATTCTGAATGGCTGAGAGTTGAACATTACCCTTAGTTCACTAACCAAGGGGCAAATAGGAAACTTAAACCGAAGTTTAAAACCAGTAACATCGGTAAAACTGGGGCAACTTTAAAGGCCACTCTAACACTGTCAGCCCAGGAATATAATAAGTGGTCTGCTAGGCTGTTTGTTTCCTAAATTCCATACGTCACAGGAACTACAAATCTAAGGCTTGATGCGTTTTTCGGCTGCATTGTGCACATATAAGCCTATTGATAGGTTTTCAGCGCATTTTTATATCAAACATTTGAATTGGATAATTTGAAACGCCAGCTACAATGCATGGTGTGTCGTCTTCAAGGGATGAAGTAAAACGCATCATAGGAATGTTCCAGGAACACTGAAGTTCACTTGAAAGTCTTTGGTGAAAAATGTGAACAACACTGAGTCGGCTTAATTTCATCGTAATGCCGATCTGTGACAATTTCACACAACACATGGTTACAGCCTACTTTATTAAAATGTTCCAGAATATTTTGCGGTGGTTAATAAAATTTTGCAAAGTGCAATGAAGCCGTAGCCGCATTCAGCAATTCTCACAGACACAAATCAAATTTTGTGCCTTGAATATGAGTAGTGTGGTATCGAAATACAATTTCAAGTATCTAAGTATCGTTCGACATGCATCACCAATACTAAAGGGACTCAACACCATTCTACATGAGAAAAACATATTTCTATGAAAGAATACAATAGTTTTCCATTGGTAATATTCGTGGATGTCAGTCATTGTGAAAATACTTGATAATACCTCCTGATTTGAAATGCCTTAGTCGTAAGCTTTACTCCTCATTAGCAAATTTTTCAAAAGTTCATCTTTACTAATAGTCTAAGAGTGCATACAAAACCCAGACAATGATCTTTCTAAGACTAACATTAATGTATCATGAATGTTTTACCTAAAATACTTGAAAAAATACACAAAGATACCCTTCTACGTCAGCTCGAAAGACGATGCTAAAGAAATCATTTTCAACCTCAGAATGGAACATATTTGCCAGTGGTTTCTATTAACAGTATTTGCTGACAACTCAAATAATGTTGAAACTTTTCTATAAAGTCTAACTTACTAAATTTTACTTATCATAAGGGGCTGGGCAAAGAGATAAAAACAGGTTATGCAGTGCAGTTATTATTCCAAGCTACCGAAGACTCAGCTACATGATGAAGTATGAACTATCCGAAAAAAATTGTCCTTAAAAACATTTTTTGTTTAAGGATCCTGCTTCAAAAAGCTACTGATGTGTTAAGAAGAGGAAGAAATAAATCCACTCTAACGAATGTAATCTAAACCGGTCAATTCATACTTCAAACTGCAAACAGCACCTCAAGCAAACCTAAAGGAGATTTTTCTCGTGAAACAGAACAGTAGATTTGTCGAATAGTTAAAGATCTGACTGTATGCCCAACAATTTACTCGCTGATATTGACATCGATTAGCCAATGCTTTAGACGAAACCCACTCATAAAAAACCTAGTATTATAAACATGGAAGAGAATGGGGATACTTGTATCACCCAAGTGTTTATTATCGGTGGCAAACGGAAAAACCGAAACACACTTAGCGACCTTGTGGATATTCTTGCAGTAGGCACTGAGCCTCACTTATTGTGTGACCACTAATGATACTTATTACCTGGTTGGCCAAACCTCGGTAGGTGGATCGGTGTGGGAATCCGTGACCCATGTGTTTAAAATCAACTCCCGATACCATTGAACCACAACAACTAAGTGGCAAATGTCCTGTTTAGAATGGTGGTGATAAACTGAATTATATGAACACTATTAAAAGTCACATTACATCATTGACTGAAGGAGTACAGTGATCTAAATTATCAGCTTGCATAAAAACATAGAAAACTTACTTCGGATTCAGTCCTTATATAGTGTTTTACGCCTGGTGACGATCAGCATTATGACATTTCTGAAATTTCAGATAAACTTTTCACCTAAATTTGGAATCATGGTGCTCCGCTAATCAACAACAGATTTTATTGCTAAGCTACTCGAATCGCAATTAATATATGACAAAAATTAACTGAGTATACATCAGGTTACAGAATATTAGACAGCAAAAATCTGCACTTGGTAACTGTGACACAAAACAGCTGAGACGTTTATTTGAAATCCAGACTAAAATATAATTGGCGGCCGCCTACAATCTTCAACTATCAGTGTACTGCAGCATCGTATCAATACAGCTTAGGGATGAGTGATATTTAGGCAAAGCTAATTCAACCGTAAATAACGGAAGACTAAATGAAGTATATTCCACCTCTGTTTCCTCAGATGCGTTGCACAGTGAAAGAGTTTTACTTACTGGATAACCTTCCGGACATGATTTCGTGTCCGTAATCATATCAAACTGTAATGAAATTACAATTTCCTATAGTCCCTAAGCTTAACTTCTCTATATAAATGAAGTATACAACATTGATCATTAAGGGTAAGAATAATACACCATCTATAACACCAAAAATCTAATTTTGGTGACAAGGAATGAATAAATAGTCCTGAAACGCTTAATAAACAATTTCACTGGTAAACAGAGCAAAAAAAAATCAACCAATTCCTGTTAGTCTTATTATTCCTAAGTAACGTAAAACACCTGAAGATCATGAAAAAAGTTGTTTCCGTTCCGACTAAAAATATCTTTGATTGAAGTGTTTCATTTGCTTTGCACCACTTGATGACAAAAAAAATAAAGAAAAGCATGCAATCTTGCATAGAAGTATCCTGAATCAAATCGCCAGCCATGCTAACAGCAAAGTTAAGCATAGCAGGAGTAATTCTTTACCTCATATAATTATTCATGTGATATCACATTTCAGAGGAGATGGCGTCTGAATGTTACAATCCCACGGATTCATTGATACAGTAGAATTTTAAATGGCACTAACTTCAAATTGTTATTTATTTTAGCATAACAGTTGAACGCAACACACAACAAAGCCATGCATATCACCACTGATAACCAATTAGATATCTTCTATGGATGAAAAGCATTGTTTACACCATAAGATAAAAATAATAAGCAGTTCCAATGATTCAATGCGAAGAAACTACTTAGTAAACATTTATCATGATATTCTGCAAAAGGGATATGCGAACCGACTAATCTCTTCCACTAAATCAATTCACGGTTAACTGGTTAAGCAAAGTACCCTCAATTATTATGAAAATATAATTCCAATTAAAAAATTTGTTAAAGTATACAGTTGAATAACTAAAGCATGAAACTGAAATTTTAGAATGAAATGAAATCAAACATCTCTAGCGTGAATTTGCAATAAAAAAAAAGCACTCCAATTTTATTTAACATCTGTATCAGAAAGAGGACGACAAGAATAACGAATGAAAATAACCTTTCAATAAACAGAAACATGAGAAACCTCTTTATATGAATGCTTCTTGGTACAAAGTAAGATCATTAGTGAAATTACGCAACGGTCAACAATGTATCCCGACTTCGGTACTTAGTGAAACATACTGTAATCACTGGTAAAACATGAATTTCCTCAATATTGCAAATAGCTTTTCTAATTAATGATAACAAGCATGAAATTTAAATGCAGAACTTCTTCCTGATTGATCTTTCACATCTGATACAATCAAC